TTATTAGTATTAATATTAAAATTAATATACATAATATCATTGATATTAATATTATTTATATATATATATATATATATTTATAGATATGGATACTATAAAATATTAAATATAGGTTTCGGAATTTCATTTTGTTTCAGTCACGGACGATTTGCTCCTTGGCTCCTAAAACACCCCCGCTCACCTTGCGTATTAGGAATATATTTAAATTTAGACACAGACCATTGCGGTCTAGAGGCTTGCATGCGATCCAGAAAACCTAGCATACTGCAGAGAGAACTCACTGCCTTGAATGTTACACACGCCTGTACACACCTTGTCGCTCATCATTATTGTGTGCCTTATTAGCGCTTCAGAAAACGAGCTCACTCAACCACGGGATATGCACAGACAACCCGCTTCAACCGAGAGTTGCGTACAGGTGTATATATGTACAATTAGTTTTAAAGTTGTACTGTGATCAATGTAGATGTAGTCACATGTTGAATTTCTAACGTTTTGTTTGTCTCCAGGTCTTTAAATGGCGAGTTGTTGCGTCATGGACTCAGACAATCTGATCCTCGCCTGACGAGCGTCTTTGAATTCCTCGATGCCGGTAAGTTCTATAAATAGATACCCCTGAGTTCTATTTATAGACGACGACTAGTTGTATCCATAGGTGCCGTATATGCAAGACTTGTCTTGAGATGCTATGCATGTGGGTCTTTTATTGTATTGATCGTTCATATGAATTCTATATATAAATTCCTTGCATATGATGTCTATTTATAGATGCCATGCTTACCATACCTAGTTGGGTGCGGTTCAGTTGCCATCTGCAAAGTCCCGAATTAAAGAAACGTTTCATTCCCTTGTAGAATGCATTGTGTATCAACTTGATACATGCAAATCAGTAGGTAAACAATAATCACGTTAACGTTAAAATTCAGATGCCAATCCGGTGACGGTGGATGATCTTGAGGACCTCTGTTTCCACAACGAGTTGGTGGAGCGATGTCTCAAGGGTCGTTTGGTGATCAAGGACTTTGAAGGTAGGTAGGGTTGTAGGTAGCAGTAGGTATAGGGTTTATGAATTGGTATGTGTATGGATCTGTACGTATTTTACGGATACAGATTTGTAGTGTTTTAAGAGGTGCTCGCCTTATTAAGTATAATATCTACTTTTGCCTCGGACAATAATGACAATCCGACGAAACGGAGGTTTTTTGGGATGAGTCATCTGCGGACAACCAGAGTATCCATATAAGGCATCATTTCACTCTAGTCTGTTTTTACAACAATATAAAGTCTATTTTATTCTCATCTATTTTTAGAATTCACGAGTCGTATTGGAGAGCTGTACAAAGAAATTCTGCCCAACTCAGACGGGAAGGTGGCAGACTATATACCAACGCTAGCCTCAGTTAACCCAGGTATGTGCAAGTAGGGTGAAGTGCGGTACGTTGGGTTCATACATGATGCACGTATGTGTTTCGTGTGTGAATAGGTGCGTAGCCATGGATGTAAATAGATAAACAGGTGTATGCGAGAGGGTATATTTCAATTGTACTTGGCCATGCATCAGGTCGCAAGTTTATTGTACGTTCGTATAGAGTCAACACATACAGCAACATGTATTTATATATATATATAAGAGCGTATTCGTGCACGTGTGTACACTGCATGGGCTACTCATCTACCCTTTCATTCTTACTCCTACACTTATCTACCAATCACGGCGTACTCTCTCACACCTACCTACTAATTTAGACTCACTCTGCCTGTCTACCTACCACCTCAGATCTATTTGGTGTGGCACTGTGTACGGTTGATGGTCAGCGCTGTGGGTTTGGTGACTATCAAGTTCCCTTCAGTGTGCAGAGCTGTTCTAAAGTGGTCACCTACTGCATGGCCCAGACTAAACTGGGCGTAGAAACGGTCCACAAGTATATAGGTAAGAGTAGACACGGTATATAGCTATATAGGTAATGGCGAATACGGTGAATAAGCATATTGGTAGAGGTAGATACGGTTTATAAGTATACGGGGAAGGGTTGTCATGGTATAAAAGTGTATAGATAAGAGTTTTTTATTGGCCATTCAAGTTTTGTTCTTTAATCCGCTGTTGAGCATTGTTATATTTACGTTTATATATTACTATTATTTCTGTTTAGCCATTGTTTTATTCACTACCCAATAAGTATATAAGCAAAACATACATCGTGCACGAGTTACGACCAACTGTAAGTGTTGCATCAGCACAGGTAGGTATATCGGGTTGGCTGAGGCTCTCAAGTGGGAGTATTCAGAGAAAGGGTAGGTATGCAGCGTGTCAAATGCGTGTCAGTTTCTCAGCCTAACCAGTTTATAGTCACATTGCTAATATCAGCTTCCTCCCACATGCCAGGCAAAGAACCTTCCGGGCAGGTGTTCAACAAACTCGTACTCGACAGCAACGACAAACCTGTAAGTGAACGCTACACAAACCCTAAACCTTAAACCTTAAACCCTAAAACTAAGCACACCACGTGTATCCTATATGCACGATTAGTAAATGACTCGGGTGTGATCAATAGGCAAAGATGGCTGTGGATATTAGGGGAAAGTATTGGGTTTAAGGAGGGGCTTAAACTGTAGTCAAATGGGTGGAAGGATTAAGCTTTGCGCTTGCACAACGCAAGACAGAGATACAGTAATGGTATTCCGATCTCATTGGTCAATTCGCTCATATTCTTCTGTGATGGCAGTCTGGCAAGAGCACTTGCTTACCTACACACAACCTCCACGGGCATTGATGTATGTAGAGCTGCACACAGACTGTACTACACCCAATATAGCAATACAACACTGAAACTATACAGCGGATACGTTACACACACAGAGAGAGGCACTCGATCATGTGTCAAGTGGCATGCACATTGCAGAGATTGTTTATTTACTATTGCCTTAAGAAAAGTACATGTACTTGCCAAACTTATGGACCAACTAGATGTGAGAGATACCCATACTCATAATTATATTTGTATATATATATATATGTGTGTGTATATATGTA